ACAGTACAGGTTGGACCTCCCTGGTCCTGCAGCCTTGGGACCTGACTGGTCCTGGATGAGGGATTTTGCCAGACCACAAGAGGTCATTTCTAGACCCCTGCCACCGGCCTCCCTGGCCCAGCCCGCTGGCCCCATTGGGCAGCCATTGCTGCCATGGCTCCCAGCCCTGCAGGGCCGCTATACACTGGGGCTCCAGGATCCACTGGCATCTGCTGTGCCAGCCCACTGGCCTCACAGCTGGCTCCCCACCTCCTGCCAGCACAGCAGGTCCTGGAGCCCCAGGACATGGCTGCCTGGCAGGGCTAGGAGCCACAGGCTGGGGCTCTGGGACTGGTCTCCCAACCCTCCTGGGCAGCCCACTGCCCTGCCAGTCCCGCAGGGGTCTGTGCCACTAGCCCTCCACCAGGGCTCTCTAGTCCTGCAGCGTCCATGCCACACCCTCGATGTTGCTGGACCAGAGAATCCTGGTTAAGAGAGTTTCAACCTGTACTTCACCTGCCTCCGTTAGGATGGTAGCAGTTGCCCCGAGAAATGCAAGTGGGGTGGGACAGAGGCCAGACACAGCGGAGAGACCAATTCTAGCTATGGGGTCAAGTGGCCTTGCACTTTGTAGACTCAAGCAAGGATTTCACCTGAAACCGACAGGGAGAACATGTCCTCTGAGAAAGCAAGAGCCACCTGTCCTTCCAGTGCCTGAGCTGCATGGAGAACAACAACAGCCTTCTACTGCTACTTGCTAAATGAGACAGAAGCCTGTGCTGTAGTTAGCAGCCACAAAATCCATGTTCAGCCTGCCAACCTATGCAAAGAGGTGAGAGGCACAAGGGTCGTGACCAGAAAGGAGGAGAAAACCCAAAAGATCCTACCTAGAGCTCATTTTCTGTCCCATGAAAATTTTTCAAATTTTTGGAAATCCTTCCCATGCTAAATTGGCATGCAAAGTCAAAGTTTTGGAATTTTTAATGAACTATAATTCTGTGGGGTGGAATTTGGGTTCAGGTTTCATTTTGACACGATCATGCTGTTTCATTTTGATTTTGACCATTTTTGTATTTTTTTCCTATAACTTCTCTTCAATTTACAGATGAAAGTTGCTTTGAAATGAGAAAAAAAAAATGTTAATTAAAAAACAAACAGGTACTGTGACCAATTTCAAACCTCTTGGAGTTTGATTTATTTTTTCAGTCAAGAACTTTGTCAAAAAATTCCCACAAATAGTTTTGGTTTTGACCAATAGGCATTTTTGATGGAAACATTTAATCAACGTATTCCCAACCATCTCCAGTGTGCTGCAGATAACAGAAAGCTAGATCTGACAAATGGTGCAGGAGGGGAGGAGATTTAATTTACATAATGATCATAGTTCTACTGCATCACCAACACGTCAGACACACTTAAGAGCCATGGGCTACATCTAGAGTGGCATGATTTTCCACAAATGCTTTTAACAGAAAAGTTTTCCGTTAAAAGCATTTGCGGAAAAGAGCATCTAGATTGGCACGGACGCTTTTCCACAAAAGCACTTTTTGCGGAAAAGCGTCCGTGCCAATCTAGACACGCTTTTGCGCAAAAAAGCCCCGATCGCCATTTTTGTGAAAAACTTGCCAGTCTAGACGCAGCCAGGGTGTTTTAAACCTAGCACAATCTAACACATACATACAGATTACAGCATTTATTTTACAGAGATATAGAATGTTTCAGCCACAGATCTCAAACCACTGGTTGGAGGGAGGTTGGCCTTATCACCCTCCATTGATAGATGAGGAAAGCGAGCTACAAGTAGAATGCCCTGCCCTCCTGCTCTAAGCAACTAGACCATGCTTGCTTGCAAGAGCTGGGGGTAGAAACGAGGAGTGCTGACCAATCCAGTGGCCTACAGTGCCTCCCAGACTTAACAAGGTTGGAAACTGGCACGTTTCAAGCCAGAGTCGGTAACCACTCCTCTGCTGATCCAGCACAGTCAAACCCTCGGCCAAGCTCCAACTGACCCAAATGTAGGTAAATGATGAAAAAGAATAGACAAACAGCAACACTGAACTCACTTACATTTTTTTAAAATGGGAATTCAATCAGGTGTATTTTTTCCTTTATCCCGGTGAACTCTTATTATTAACTAGGTTTAACAGAAACACTGAACTCACTAAAGCATTTGCTCATTCCCTCTCCAGATACAGACAATGCAAAGCCAGGCTGAGATGTGGATCATGAAGGTTCTAACATTAGGGAGAAGCTTCAGAGGGGTAGCTGAGTGAGTCTGTAACCGGAAAATTTTTTTAGCTGAGTGAGTCTGTAACCGGAAAAATTAAAAAAAAAAAGGATAGTCAAGTAGCACCTTAAAGACTAACATAACACGTATCATAGAATCATAGAATACTAGGACTGGAAGGGACCTCGAGAGGTCATCGAGTCCAGTCCCCTGCCCTCATGGCAGGACCAAATACTGTCTAGATGGTGGTATGAGCTTTCGTGGGCACATCCTTCAGATGACAGGAGTGAAGGATTACAGAGAATGATGGATTAGTCGCTCAGATCCTTAACTCAATTACCCTTTTTTCTTTAATAAAAAGGAAAATGTACGTGCTTTATTTAAACAATTGTATTTTTCAACCATTCAGTGTTACTATTATGAAGTTAATTTTCCGTTTGGATTTCTTTACAAAGGGGATTTTTAAAATTTGTCCATTTACATTTTTTTAAAATGGGAATTCTATCAGATATCTTTTTCCTTTATCCCTGTGAACTCTTATCATTCGCTAGATTTTAACAGAAAAGAGCTCTAGTTAATTTGGCTTCCAACAACATTTTTTTCCTTGTTTTTAAACCTTATTCATTGATTTAGCGGTGCCAAAACAGAACATTACTCCATACGTCTCCGTTTTAGCTCTTTTCTGTAAGATTTATTGAGACAATCCTATTCCAGGTGCATCTGATTTTTCTGGCTCATCTTGGGTCAGTCTTTCAACATGTATTCATTTATGTCAGTTTTAGAATTGTACTTCCTTTGGTGATTGTCTCTTTCCTGTTTGGTGCCATGAGAAGCAATCCCATTGCAGACACAGCCCGTTTTCCTGGCACCACCAAACCCTGAGTTTGCTCTACGCTATAAGAGGAAGCTGGCTACCGAACAGCTCTTTTCTGTAAGATTTATTGAGAGACAATCTGATTTTTGGTGGTCCTAGTGCTTACCATTTAGGAGGAGCTCTTGAACAGACAGACAAACTCAAATATATAATGGACTAAAAGACCTACCTGGTGTTGCTTGGGTCCTTTAGGGCAGGGGGCTAGCAGTGTGTAGGATGCAGGAGTCAGGACAGGGCCTTGGGGATGTGGAGGGCTCAAGGTAGGAGGCTGGGAGCATGGAGGTGCAGGAGGCAGGGTTGGGGGTTGAGGAGGAGCTAAGGGCAGGGGGCTGGAGATGTGGGGGGATGCAAGAGTTAGGGTATGAAGGTGAGGAGGGGCTAAGGAGTCAGGGCAAGGGGTTGGGAGGAGGTGGGGCTCAGCAGAGGGATGGAGGGCTCAGGGAAGAGGGTGGGGGTGGCCGCCAGCTTCTCCCTGGGATCACAGGGGCCACTCGCTTGCTGCTCCCCCTGTGGTCATGCATGAGCATAACTGCCCCTACTATCACACCCCTCCCTTTCTGTTTGCTATGAAGCAGTCACATTCTAGGCACATCCCATTGTCCTGGCACAACCACACCTTGACCTTGCTGTAAGTTAGGAGGAGAGGAAGCAGCCTGTTGAATTTGGAGGCCCTAGCTATACCGTTCAGGAGTTCTTGAAGAGAAGGACTCACAGACAGACAGACGCACATTTCTAAAGTACACAGTAAGAAGAGAAGATCACTAGTGCAAAGGGTCATCCCTGAGATCAGGGGCCCCCAATGTGCCCATGTTGCACAGACCCTAACAGACTGGGCTCCCCAATGGGCCAGGCACTGCAGAGACCCTGACCGATTACCAGGCCCCCCATGGTGCCAGGTGCTGCACAGACCCCAAGTGAGATCCAGCCCCCTTCTGGGCAGCCAGGTTCTGCACAGACACACAGAGAGCCAGACCCTGCCCCTAAAGCTCAAATGTACATAAGAAATAGGAGGGGAGATGGTGGGGAATGAAAGTCACACAGCAAGAAGGTGGCAGAG